GTCCGAAGGCACACCAGGCATGAGCGGCGACCGTGGGAGGGGACCGGGCCAGTGATCTCAGGAAGGTGGCCAGGCCCTGATAGTCGCCTGAAACATCGCCTGCTGCTGGCACCTCCCAGGCGGATCGGCTGCTTTGAGGGCCTCCAAACGCTCTTCGAGCCCAGAGCTCTCTCTTTTCGTTTGCACAAGATCCCAGGTGTGGCCACCGCCCCCAAACCGTTTTCTAAAGTCAGTCCTCCAGACTGCCTCGTGGGTCGCAGGCTAAAGGCTCTCAAGTCAGAGAGACGGAAGGACGCCCTGGGATCCGTGCTGCTCTGACCCATGAGACCTGTTACAGTCACAGCCACGTGTGACGCAGGCGACAGTGCGATTTACAACCTTTCCAGAGTACAGTCAAGGAGCCCAGGGCCCTGCAAACTTGCCCGGGCTCGGGGTGCCCTGGGAAACGTTCAGAGAACTAGGACGAGCTGTAATCCAGCATCTGAAGTGGTCTTACACTTTGAGCAACAGAAAAAGCCACGGGGTGTCAGATTTTGCAAATGCTAGTAGCACTTGCGGGGACACTGCAGACCTGGAGACTGCCGTAGGCAGGTGGTGAGGCGCAGAGGACCGCGATGCAAGCCCGCTTGGACTGCTGGTCCGCTTTCAACGAAACGCACTGCTCGGGCCCAAGAAGACTGGGAGAGTTGGTGGCGGGGAGAGAGAACAAGAGTCAATATGCAGCACCGCACCACGACCTGCAAAAGCCCGGACGTCCCTTCTCTTAGCTTCGGGTGTAGAGCATCGCAGATTAAGCAGTGAGCAGTAGAGCCAGAGTCAGTCTGGGAAATGTCTGCAGTTTTATAGGCTGAGAAAAATAAAGATTAAGCAGGCGAGCACAAGCTCTGCTTCTCTGATTTCTCACGGAGAACCCACTCCCTATTTTTCTTGATTGAATTACGAGGTTTGCCCAGAGCGAAGGTCTCCTGGTAGACTGGCCCTGGATATAGGCAGCAAGTCCTTTTTTCCGATTCACTTCGAATGGCCGCAACTCAAGCCAAGAAATCCCTTGAGTCACCATGGGCCGCAGAGGATTGCGCTGTGCCGGAAGTCCGCCGGTCAGTCATTGGTGGCCTTCAGGTTACATCCTAGAGTTGTTTCCTGCTAATCTCCAGGCACAGAGCCCCTAGACCGTTCCTGCCCAAAAGTCTGGGGCAAAGAATTCCTGTAGGCATGAGCTCATTGAGAGCACCCAATCCTGCCTTCCAGAAAGTCCGACGCTCCCAGAGAACTTTGGAGCGCAGCTGGGAGTGCAAAGAGACGTTTCAATGAAACGCAAATTCCCAAACGTTTGCAAAAGTTTCCTCCATCCTGGCCATAAGGTACTCTGCCTATGCTGTATTTCTAACGCAAGAGGTGTATGTGTGTGGGGTGGGGTGAGGTTAGATGGAGGAAAAGGTGCACGGCTGAAAGCTGGGGTCAAGTAGAGATCCAACGCCTTTGGCACTACAGGCCTCTCAAGCAGCTGCTCAATGCGCTGGAACCGAGGGCCGAGCTTGTCTGAGTGTCACGCTGGTGTCTATCAAATCCCCACCCAGACAGCCTATGCTCTCTGTGACCTGGTGCAAATTCTGGAAAGGAGGGGCCAGACAGAGACTGCTGTGTGTGAAGAGACCCTAGCTGCGATTCTAACCTTTTTAGGGCAGGCATCCAGCTGGTCCCCAGCTGCCAAGAGGTTCTGGCCCAAACCTGCTAGAACTGGTCTGTGACAGAGGTAGGACAGGATAGCTAATATCATATCGCACTCCTGCATTGGGTAATGGGGCTACAGTTTTTCTATGCTTTCTCGGTAATGACTTTTCATCGGGCGCCCTGGGTGGCAGGTCCCTCCTTTGCTCTGCTCTGTCTGTGGCTCCAGGCAGGTTTGGTGGCCTGGGGACCACAAAGGAGGCAGCATAGGAAGATCCAGAATTCTGAAGCTCCAGGACTCTGAGTATCTGCCTACCGTGAGTGTTGGCAGGACCCAGTCCTGAGTCCATCTACTTAAAGTCTCAAAGGCCCAAGGAGAGGCAGGTTTGTGTCAAACCAGGGCTAGGGTTGGAGAGGTTATCCTTGGCAATGTTAATACTCCCAAACCTACTGAAGGCCAGCAGTAGAAGGGTGACCACTGAGGCCCCAGCTAATGGTGAAATGGGCCCAGAGTCTTACACCAGAAAGTGACTACCTGGTCTGGCACCCAACCAACGTATTGCTTTCCTTCTCTGGCCTTCTTTTATCAAAAAACTATGTTGGCTGTGACAGGGCTGCAACCTCCTGGTCAGCTGAAACCTTTAACTCTGCCTGAAGGAAGATCCTTGGAAAAGATATCTCACCCTTAGTAGCCAGCTACGCCCTGGAACCGCCTGGCAGTCTGGGTAATGTATTTTCCAGGTCTCCTAGGACCCTCAAATCTCACTAGAGGATAAATCCTGTGTGATGGACCTTTAGATAGGGTAGCCTGGATACACTAGGATCTGCCCTACCCACAGACAAAGTTCACAAAGATGACATCTGGATTTCTGCAAGCGCTTGTTCTGGTGCTGGCTTAGCACCTACTTAGGCAGTCTTCTGTCCTCAACTCAAGAGGACAGGGATCCGGGAGACAAAGTCTCAGGGGAAGCACAGTGCTCCACTCTCCCATGCTTACATCGCCACCAAAAGACTTTTGGCATTCTGAAGCAGAGGGGAAGTTTGGAAAATCATGCAGAATCCTTAAGTAAATAAATTTGTACCTTATCCATAAACAACCGGCAAAGCCAGAAACCAAAGCTGAGGCTCTGGACTCCCCCATTTTCAATATCTGCCTCTCCATCGCCTTAGAAAGCTGATAGGGGTGTTAACAAAATGAGGCCTAGAGGTTTTAGCGTGATCTGTGTCTCCTTGGGTCTTGGCACTGAGCATGTCATTAGGAGCTTGCAGCTGGGTGGGTGAGGGCGGAATGGACGCTTAAAGGACAAGCCGGGCTTTTCAAATCCTAGAAACTTCAGAGTCTTCTCTGACCCCACCCCTCCAGTGCACCCCTAACCTTGTATTGCTCCGTTCTGCCAAAAGACCACGTGTTTTCTTGAGGTGTTCTGACAAAGAAGCAAAAAGCAGGAGCTCCTCTTACCCACGTTCTAAGGCCATCATGCCGGAACTTAGCGCTGGGTTCTCAGGCAGAAGCGACCAGGAACCCGAGCCCAGTAGTAGGGAGACAGGAAGCTGGTAAACGCTGCCTCCTCTCTCTTCTCTGCACCCTCCACCCCCACCCCGGGAAGCGCTACAATCACCCTACACTGGTTGCCCTGGGCTCCCCAGAGCAGTCTGCGGGTCTATGCGGGCTCCCCAGTTTTGTGTCGCCGTCCTTGCAAGAGTCAACTTCCGTAAAGGCCACACAAGACTGCTGGAAGTTTCTAGGGCCCTGGGCCCCGTGGGGTTAAGTCTGAGTCCCCGCCTGGCGAGGAGCAAATCGCGCCGAGTGGGGGCGGTACCGGCCGCGGGGCAAGCAGCCCGCTCGGAAAGGAAGGAAAGGCGGGATCCTCCGGGAAGTTGATTCTCAGGCGTCCAGCTGCGACCACTGCCAAATCTCCGACTTCTCTCCCCACCTCCTCCCCCTTTCCCAGGGGGATAGCTCGGGTCCCGGGTTTCTAGCATGGGGGTGGGGTGTTGTCAGCTAGAAAAGCCAAGTCTTTCAGAGGCCCCCTAAAAGAATCCAAACTCTCCATCCCACTGACCTCCTCCTGGGTTACAGTATCTCTGCCTGTCAGCTGCGACCTTCCGAGCGACGCGGTGACCCAGCCGGAGCTGGAGCACCTGGCGAGGCCTGGACGAGGCTGTTGCGATGCCTCTTATTTAAAAGAAAAAAGGGGGTGTCTCACACTTCTTCCTCTTGAAGGCTCCTTCTGCCCCCCTCTTTTCCTTTCCTGAAAGGCACCCCTTAAACGGTCCTCTGCCTTCCCTTCTACTCCCTTCCTTCCCCACCTTGGTCCTCCTCTTTTCTTCAAGGGCTCCCACCTAGCCCCCCTCCTTCGGGGTCCTCCTCCTCCTCCTCCTCTGCTCTTTGGGCGTCCGCCCCGTCAATCACCGCCGTCTCGGGCCCCAGCCCGGCTCCTCTCCGCCTCCCGGGCTCTGGAAGTGCCTGGGGCTCCCATCTCGGCCTCCCTTCGCTGTGTGCAGAGCCGGGCCGATCTGTCAGCGGAGCTGGACGAGGGGGGGAGCCGCCCGGGCCGCCGGGGCTCGGGTTACCGGTGACTGACAGCGTCTCCATGGCGAATAATTTGACTCGACTATTGTCTGGCGCGGGCAGGCCCCGGGTCAGATAACCTGGCCAATCAGGGCGCGGGCCGCCGCGCCTCATGCCCGCTTAGAATAATATTATTAAAAAAGCTGCGAGCGAGCTAGACGGGAGGGAGAGCGAACGAGCGAGGAGCGGGCGAGCGAGCGGCGGGCGGGCGCGGAGCATGCGGAGCGGCGCCCCGGGCGGCCCCCGGGCTTGGGCGCGGGCGAGGCGCGCGGGTGGCGGGGGCGCAGAG